CAAATATTTCTGTGTAGCCTCAGAGATTTCAAGAATTTTCTCATGAAGCTACAACAATTGCTCCTTTCCAGGGCTGGGAATTTGATTTATTCAATGGCAGTATTCTGATAAGCAAACTAAAAATATCCTTCTTTTTCAACTAAAAGACTTTCCCTTTTTCACTAGTCTTCTTTTTAGGCTCAAACTGTTGCCTTGCATAAACATCTTTATATTTCTTTGTTGCCTGGCTGTTCATTCTGCTTGTTATCATGAATTATTTAAAAGTGGCTTACACAGAGTTCAGCTATTTATTATCATATTAACGGGGTCTGATAAAAATTTGAATATAATCAAGCTTTTTACAACTTTGTGTTAGATTAAGTAACAGTAACTCAAAGCATCACAACTGTTCTACAACCACAGGTTTTATAATAACCTGCTCCTATCAAAATAATCAAAATATTAAATATCAGATGTCTGAAGCATAACAGCTTTTTAGGTAATATTGGAGTACACAGGAGTCAGTAAAAACTGACTGCCTCGATTTTAGAAAGTGTTTTTGAACCCATTTAAATATTGTGTATCAATTAAAAAAAAAAAAACAAAACAAAACAAAACAAAAGAACCCAAACCCACAACAACAGAGAATTTCACTCCTCTGTGAAGTTTTACTTTTTAGTGAAAGAAATCTCACCAAGCGTTGAACATATGGATTATTTGTGCTCTTACATGAATTTCAAGTGCTTCTTTCAATAATTTCAGAGTAATTTTAGTACATCAGGAAGGAGCTGGACTCAACTGCAGCAGCTGAGCTCCACCTGCTGACCAAGCCCAGCACGGGCTGCTGAGCTCAGCTCTGCCCAGCAAAAAGGGCAGGAACAAAGCTGAAAACACATTCCTAAGCAGTTTATGTTCTACTTTTTGTTTTTTAAAGGTTGTGTGCAGGATCTGTTTTATTTCACCTGCATTTATTTCTACCCAGGACAAAACTACAAACAGCAGTCCCTTGTTGTATATTGAATATTCAGCAGTTCAATGTCTGTTCCATGGCTGGGGCACATTCTGACCCTTCCTATCACCTCTATTTGTACAGCCACATTTTTGTAATTCAGAGTTTTCAGTATTTTTCTATATTAGGAGTTTCCCCAGAAGATTTTTACCTCTTACCAGTTATGTATTTATTGGGGTTCCTCCTGAAGCGGTCGTCAACCAAAATAAGAGCCCCCCAGTCATTCCTGTGCCTTATACACCTAAAAGTGAGGGGGAAAAAAGAGGATTTATGTCATTAGAGAGCACACAGCAAAAATCTGTGGGAATTGGGAAAAAGGAATTGCTCTGGGTCAGCTGGAATATGCAAAGTTATACAGGAATGCTGGGCGAGTGGATGCACCAAAAATTGTCATGGATGTCGTGGAAGCTTCATATTCCTTCAGCTGCTGAATGTCCATGGAAACAGCTAAATTCAAAATAAACCACAGAAATATTCAACAGCCAATCAAACCACATAATTTATTTTCCACTCTCAACTGGCAGTGTAAATATTACATTATGGAATATCCTGGTTTTATCAAAATCCTCCCCCACATCTCAGGTTAGCAAGGGCTTTGATTTGTGGTTTGATAAGGAATTTGTACCTTTATGTCAGAATGGAAGCCTATTTTCTCCATTTCAGACCACCCAAATCATAAATTAAACAATAAGTTACTGTCACTAAAACTTGATTTAAGTTCAAGCTGATTTATTTCACTACTGGTATTGAGAGCTTTCTTTACCTATTTAATTAATGCTCTTTGATTCCAAAGAGGAATTTAAGAATTCAGGCCTGTAACAACAAGAATCCACAAGGAGATTTCATAATGTTACAACTTCTCTCAATTTTCTCTCTAAGCCTTCATTTATGTCATCACATTTGCATTAGGACTCATTCAAATCAGAATTTTCCAGCTGATGTTTCTGTGCCTCTGTAGCCATGACAGATGCACCTACAATAGATATGGATGACAGCTCTAATCTTTATTTATATGATAAATTTTGCTGAAGGAGGATGAATTAATTCTACCTTGTTAATAACATTTGGGGGAATTTTTCCATCTAGGAAATGGAAGCTACAGCACTTCTTCTAAATCTGGGAGGAGATCAGTGAGCACAATAATTGAATTGACCTTTTGCAAAGGTCTGAAAAACCCCACTGCTATTTCTCCCTTTCAAAAGTACTTGTAGGCAAAATATCAAACAATGTCCTGAGCCCACTGAGAGTGTGAACAATTAGGGCATTGGAAAAGTCCTGAGGATCCTCATTTGCTTTAAAGCTCAGGAAATATTTGTCTCTGCTTCTGCTTTTATTTTCCTGTATATCTTGACTATGAGCAATCAAACTTCAATGAAATTGAAGTGAGTTCTGAATGTAAAATAAAATCTGAATTATAACAATGCACAACAGGCTGAAAGCAGAGAATTGTCAGCACAGAGCAGCTCAAGAGACAAAATTTGCAATATGAGAGGTTTGGCCTTACCCTTTTGTGCTAAAAGTGGGGAATAAATCCTTTAAGATCTCCCTAAAAAAATTCTACAAATTTCTATAGTTTTAGTGATGTTTATCTCACCTTCCCAGGGCTTGGTTGAGAGCTCTGTAAGCTTGGATCTCATACCACTGACTCCCTGATAAAAGTCCTCTTGTACTTTTGTGCTGGTCATTGTACTTCCTCTTTAATTCAACCTAAGAAGGAAACCATAAAATATTTGGTTTATTAATGCTGTTGAAAAGGAGACATTCTAAAAGGGGAAAACAAGCAAACAGTGATTAAATCAGAGAATATATAAACTGTGCTTCAGTGTTTCACCTCTAAATTTTGTACACTAACCAATTCTGGCTTCTGAACTTGCCCTCAGCTGTGATCTGTTCCAATAATTTCAATGTATTGACATGAGCACTGTGGGATCNCTGCTGCCGGATCCACTTGGACAGCCCTGGGGGCACAAACACCGCAGTGCATGGTACCAGCTCCTCAGTGCAAAATAGAGCACTTTACACCAAAATATCAACATATCCGAAATATCAGCACCTTACTCCAAAATAACAACATATCCGAAATATCAGCACTTTACATCAAAATAACAGCATATCCGAAATAAATAACAACATATCCGAAATATCAGCACTTTACACCAAAATAACAGCACCTTACTCCCCGAAATATCAACTCCTTACTCCCCAAAATATCAACTCCTTGCTCCAACTATCAGCACCTTGCTCCAAAATAACAACACCTTGCTCCAAAATAACAGCATATCCGAAATAAATAACAACATATCTGAAATATCAGCACCTTACTCCAAAATAACAACATATCCGAAATATCAGCACCTTACTACAAAATAACAACATATCCAAAATATCAGCACCTTACTCCAAAATAACAGCATATCCGAAATATCAGCACTTCACACCAAAATAACAGCACCTTACTCCCCAAAATATCAACTCCTTACACCAAAATATCAACTCCTTACTCCCCAAAATATCATCTCCTTACACCCCAAAATATCAACTCCTTACTCCCCAAAATATCATCTCCTTACACCCCAAAATATCAACTCCTTACACCAAAATATCAACTCCTTACTCCAAAATATCAACTCCTTGCTCCAAGCTATCAGCACTTTGCTCCAAAATAACAACACCTTGCTCCAAAATAACAACATATCTGAAATATCAGCACCTTACTCCAAAATAACAACATATCTGAAATATCAGCACCTTACTACAAAATATCAACTCCTCACTCCAAACTATCAGCACCTTACTCCAAAGTACCAACACCTTACACCAAAATATCAGCTCCTTACACAAAAATATCAACTCCTTACTCCCCAAAATATCAACGCCTTACACCAAAATATCAACTCCTTACTCCAAAATATCAACTCCTTGCTCCAAGCTATCAGCACCTTGCTCCAAAATAACAACATATCCAAAATATCAGCACTTTACATCAAAATAACAACTTATCCGAAATACCAGCACCTTACTCCAAAATAACAACTCCTCACTCCAAACTATCAGCACCTTACTCCAAAGTACCAACACCTTACACCAAAATATCAGCTCCTTACACCAATATATCAACTCCTTACTCCCCAAAATATCAGCTCCTTACTCCCCAAAATATCAACTCCTTATGCAAAAATATCAACTCCTTATGCAAATATATCAACTCCTTACTCCAAAATAACAACTCCTTGCTCCAAACTATCAGCTGCTCCAAAATAACAACACCTTGCTCCAAAATAACAGCACTTTACACCAAAATATCAACTCCTTACTCCCCAAAATATCAACAACTTCAAAACATCAACACCTCACTCCAAAATAACAACATATCCAAAATATCAGCACCTTACTCCAAAATATCAACAATTCCAAACTATCAACACCTGACTCCAAAATATCAACTCCTTACTACAAAATGTCAGCACTGTACTCCAAAATAACAGCAACCTGCTGTTAACACCTGGTGCTGAGCACATCTGCAATGTGGGATGGAGATTTGTTCATCAAAGGGTGCTTCGTTAATTAGCCAGTGGGATGTGCTTGAAGTGAAGGACCAATGAGGTCCAGCTGTATCTAACAGTCTAGAAAAGAACCATGGGTTTCTTAAT